GACAAGAGAAAAACAAGAAAGGAGATGAAGCAGAATTAGTCAAAGCTCGTGCTACGCACGATTTCCTTAAAACGTATTTGTTGCCTCCCACGGTGCTAGGAGCGTTGCAACAATCGTTTCCCAGGATACGATGATTACGAACTAATGTTTGAGCACACAAACAAAAGTTCCAGCGAACGAGAACACAATATGAACACAGAGGGAATTTTCAGATTGCTAGCAGTGTGTTTTAGAGGTGCAAAACGTGCATGGAGTGTATCAATTCGTGTGTTGTTGCAAACCACCTGCCAGCCATTATATAGGAGGATTTGTTGTGTGTAAATGGTGAATTAATGGACCTGAACGTTGGACATCAATGACCAGTCCGTTGGGCATTGAATCGTCCATGAACTGTCCATTTAACGCTGCATTGAAAGATAAGAACGTTGGGCATTAATTGTTGTAACGGTTCAGAAGGCCTCCCATCAGAACTCCCTGGAAGGGGTTCTGTTCGCGGCCAACAAAAGACCCTGTGAGGGTTTCTGTTACGCGGCCACTAGAAGACCCCAAGAGGGTCTCTGTCCCGCGGCCATCAGAACACCAACGATACCGCGGCCACCAGAAGACCCCAAGAGGGGTTCTGGTACGCGGCCATCAGAACACCAACGAGGTGTTCTGTTTGAAGCCTTTCTGTCAACTGGGAAAAATTTTACGTTTCGTGTCTGCAGGTCGCCCGCGCACGCAAGTCGCGGTTTTTTTTCTCCTAATTCGGGATTTGATTTGCACCCCCCCTGCGCGCGTGGAGAGAGCCTTTACCCTTAGGAATCTTAACTCCTTAAGGGGGGAGTCCCTTTATAAAGGGTTGCAAATCCCTTGGGTTTTCCGGTGTGGGAAATTAACACACTAGAAACCCATCCTTTTTCCCTTCTAACGGGTAAACTTCGAAAAACAATTTCTCATTCACCCGTTATCCGTTTTGAGCGTACCATATATCGAATTGTAGCCCTAAGCAAGGACAATCCGAAACCACTTTGACCCGACCCAAATCGGAAGTGGACCCCACTCAAAAAATTGCCCCAAAATAGTCATTTAATGCAATTTTCCACACATTTTTCCAACAAAAGCAGCGAAATATTTCTCAGTGCTCCAAATTACGCATAGACGCAATTTCTGAATAATTGATTCCAATTCTACTTATGCTTTTAAAAGAGAAGCAATGTAGAATCATCCCAAGCACCCCTATGCTCACAATGATCGGCTTCCACCGTATGCAAAATTAGACATAAGGATGTCATTTGTGACTGATATGATGGACACCCGCATCGAACCGCTCCGATTGAAACACCAAAAACCGCATTGATCGGATAACAAATACGGAGCGGGGAATAACTATTTTATATTTATTGGTGATAGGGTGATTTATGGTTTTTAGTTGTATTTTGAATCCATTTGTTCTTCTTATTTGTCCCACACCTAAAAATTGTTTTTCCCCTCCACTGTGTATATATAGATGCAATGTGCTCACTACAATGTATGAAAGAAAGATTATAATAAACTTTATGAGTCTTGTTTGGTCACAAAGCATTTTTCTTGTTTAATTGTGTATTTTAGTACAACTATTTTCATATTTAAATTGATTTGGGTTACATTTTTCTCACTTTATAGGTGCACAAGACTTTTAAGCTAAGTGATGTCTTATGTCTAGAGTTACCTAGTAGATGATGTCATACTTCGCACTTAAAAATTATGTATTCTTTATATAAAAATATTAATGACCCGTGAAAAGAAAATATTACCTGTAGTTATACCCAATACTCATTAGGACGGTTATGACTTTAAAAATTTACATAACAGGAAAATTACCCAACAGTACTATATGTGTTTGCAAATCCTAATGTATTTGGTTTGAAAAAAACAACAGTCATATATTTCCCTCGTTCTTTAATTCTTGCAACATTGTAATTTTTGTACTATTCATATATCTTACTTTGACCATGATTTTCTAGTAATATACATAATCAAATTATTACGTATAAAATGTTATTGTATTCCTATCATTGTGATGGATTATATGGACTCCGACCCCCCGGTATGCCGACTACTAGGCCTGGACAGCGGCCCACACACGTTTAGCAGATATCATTAATATTATTGTACATTATTATTATTATTCAGATGTTCTAGATTAGCTTTTTATACTATCAGTCCATTTATGTAACCGGGTCTGTCAGGCCCATATTAGAAGCCCAGACCCGGATTTTCCCTATATATACTCCTTATAGGAGACTTGTAACTCATATAACCAATATTCATTCATTCTATACACTTTCTTTATATCTTCTCCATTCTTGTTCAATCTCTCCTGTTTATACAATATGGGTATCTATTATCCAACAATGGTGCTCTCGTTGAGAGGTTTGAACACATCAAGTGAGAAAACCTCCCCAAAACAACCCAAAAATCTTCTCAATCACAAAAATCCACAAAAATCCGTTCTGGAAAATGAAAAAAAAAATGAAGAAACTACAATTTCAGATCTGAAAAGTCCCAAATCTGACCGGAGCGTTGGTCGCCGTCCAAGCCCTTGCCCACCGTTGCACCTGGTCTGGCAACTAAAACTGGAGGCCGCCGGCACCGCTCCAAGTCAAGCCGCTGCTCCGGATCTGATTCACCCAAGGTGGTCCGCCATTAATGGCCGCCTGAGAGCTTCTGGGAGAGATGAATGACCCCGCGTACATTTCTCTACCTCCGTCTTGGTGTCGCTAGCCTGGCTTACGGTCGCCCCACCACCACGGCGGTCGGATCTGGAAACGGGCTATCAGTCGCAGCTCCCATCTAATCTGGTGAGCCCTTGCAAGTTTCTTCCATCAAATGGCCACAACAAGCTCCTAGCAGAGTGCCGCTCCAGACCTCCCCGGGCCAGATTAATTTTGCACAGAGCAGCAAACAGTTGCAATGACCGCTCCTACTCTTTCCAGGAGCAGCCAGGGACGAGGCCGATGATATTCCGACGTCCTTGCACGGAGAACACCGTGGTCTTACTGCGGAAATGCCAAGCAGATTGCTCCCCTCCCTTCACTCCCCAGGCAGCAGTGGCAGAGCTTCTCCTCTAAAGCTTTGGCTTGCCGATCTAGTTCACAGAAGCCAGAAGGATTTGGTCACTAAATTAATTAGTGGACCCACTACATTAATTCCCTTAATTCACCTTCATATGGATTTGAGTTGGCCTACTAAACCATGGCACCTTGTGATATATGGCTTAGAAGAATCCATACGTGGATGGACTTCACTCCTCTCATGGTGGCCGGGAAAATACGGAGCAAATACCTAACTTCAATCAAAATTTGTGGACCAGCAGACAATGTTTAGTCCAGAATCGGTCTGAACAAAAATGGTGGGCCATGGTTCTTGCAACAGATATCATCCAAGTAGCCCAATATTTCAACCCACTTCAAACAGATAAGTACTCTTTAATTTTCATAGTATTTATTTTACTTAAATCATTTTTTTGTCGGGTGAATGTCACACTATCACGCACTTATGATCAAATGCCTAGTAGAGTGTGGTTTGGGACTCATCACTAGGATTTAAAGCCCTGACTCCTCAGGCACAAAGCCCTGTCTCCTCAGGCACAAAGCCCCGACCAAGTCGGGCATGAAGACAAAACCCCGACCAAGTCGGGTACGAAGACCGGTCTTAGTCATTCCTCGAGTGGCGACCGTTGCTTACGAATGGCTCACACATCCATTCTACTAAGTATTTTATCATTACATTAACAATTCACATATCCACTTGTTTCAAGTGACGAACTCCCGATCGGGAACATAAATCCCAAGAATTTTTTTTATATGTATGATAAATGTGTAGGTACGAAGATGACTTTACTCATTTTCATCTCGTCTCCACTCGCCTCAAAGAGTGGGGACTAGGGGACTGAGGGGTCAGAGTTTCTAGATGAGCAGAAAACATCACGCAAGAGCAAGAACGAGAGCTGAGTCAGTTGAAGAGGAGCTGAGCTAGATTGATTATGTCGGAGGGGATTTACCTTCCTTGTTTCATGTTGGGGGCGCTAGGTGTACTCTTTTTCCCTTTATTAGGATTTTTTCCCACTGGGTTTTTCCTAGTAAAGGTTTTTAACGAGGCACCTCCCCATAATGGACAAGGGTGGTGGTCCCCCGGCCGAAGAGGAAGAACGTTGCAGATACAGTTTGGACTACTCCCTTTCGCCTCGAGTACTCTCGACTCAGGGAGTGGGGGACTCCTGATGGATTATATGGACTCCGACCCCCCGGTATGCCGACTACTAGGCCTGGACAGCGGCCCACACACGTTTAGCAGATATCATTAATATTATTGTACATTATTATTATTATTCAGATGTTCTAGATTAGCTTTTTATACTATCAGTCCATTTATGTAACCGGGTCTGTCAGGCCCATATTAGAAGCCCAGACCCGGATTTTCCCTATATATACTCCTTATAGGAGACTTGTAACTCATATAACCAATATTCATTCATTCTATACACTTTCTTTATATCTTCTCCATTCTTGTTCAATCTCTCCTGTTTATACAATATGGGTATCTATTATCCAACACATTGTGAATTTTTAAAATATCAACCTTTTATAATATTTACTAATACATAATTAAATGTGATTACTGTTAAAGTTGTGAGTTGGCAAAAGTCAAACTGTTGCAAGAATTAAAACTATTTTAGTTATACTGAGTATATAAAGAATTTTCTCAAAAAATAACTGTTCCAATATGCCATCTTAAATTATTATTTCAGAAATTGCCCTAAACAGGAGTAAAGACGTTTTGAAATTCTAAAATAGGAGTATCATGTTTTTTATTCTCTGAATAGAAATAATCTGCCAAATATGGAAAAAAATCCATGTTTAAAACCTTGTAATACCAAACTTGGCGGATATTTACTCTTATTCATGAAATAAAAATCATATACTCCTACTTTGTAATTTCAAAACCCCTTTTCTGGAAATTTGTCTTATCATATTTGCCTCGGGATCTATTGTGCCCAACTCACTCGAGGTAGCGCGTGAGAGACGAACCATGGAAGCAGAGTAGTGATATGTCATTATTTTAGGCTGTAGACGTTTTCTCCCCACTGCACCATTGCTGAGGGAGATCGAGATCTGTTCTCTCTCTACTCACGCTCAAGGCCAAGGTCATGAGAAACATGGAAGGAAAGAAGACGGTGGCGCGCTGCGTCGTTGTTCTGTTCGTACTGTGCTGTGCGGTGCCGGCGCGACCGGATGCATCAGATCACAGGTACAAGTCCGGTGATGCAGTCCCTCTCTACGCCAACAAGGTCGGGCCTTTCCACAACCCAAGGTAATGTAATTTCCGTCTCTAAATGTTTTCCTCTTAACGAATCCTGTTCCCAATCAGCCTAATTAAGCTCATGTGGTTGTTGGTGATTATCTAAATGAATGGGGAATTGTGTGTTATTAAGGGTCTCCAATTATCATTGTTTTGATTTTGCAATTTTTGGCTAGTAGTGTATGTATTTAGGTCAATTGCGGATTAACCTACTTTTCTGGGTTCCTTAGTACTTCCTCCTTGTTAGTTAGTGGCAACATTTTGAATTCTGCACTATTTAAGTACTTCAACTTGACCATATTTTATTTATCAAATGTATCCAGAAAACCATCGTATGCGAAACGGAAACGTCATCACATGTGTATCACATAATCAGTTTTTCATTACTTTTACTAATATAATTAATTATATTAATATTCTAAGTTCTTTGGTGTTAAATGTAACTGTTACATCAAGATGAGAACATGGATGTATGAAAGTTTTAATCATTCAGTAGGGATTTGATTGTCTTGCAGCTACATCGTTTTGTATCTGGTAGACCTACTATTGTAAAGGAACAAATATCTCAATTAATTTGAGTTTGCACCCCATTTTATTGTCCAAATTGGACTTTGCACCCTGTTTTTAAAAATATTTGTTTTTGCACCCCCAACCCCATTTGAAAAGACAAAAATGCCCATCCATTAACAATTGTGTTGTTCTTCAACATATTCCTGATTGAGGGCATTTTTGTCTTTTCATATGGGGTTGGGGTGCAAAAACAAAGATTTTTAAAAACGAGGTGCAAAGTCCAATTCGGACAATAATATGGGGTGCAAAGTCAAATTACCCCATATCTCAATTAATTTGATACTATCAAAAGGATAAAAAATTAAATCTAAGCAATATCATGAAAATTTCTAAACATCCTTCAGGCTGTAGACAGGAGCTGAGGGTGTAGGCTTTAGCCAGACCTAGGAGGGCCTAAGCGGGTGTGTGTCTCGGTGTGTGTGGCAGGGGCGCAGGGCTGCAGTTATAAATATTGGATCCAGTCAACCAAGTGCTAACGCCTTGAGTGGAGCTAGTTGAGGATTTTTAGGGCAGTGATCTTGATCAAATGGCAAATTGGCTTTCTTTTAGGAATAAAGGACTTGTGTGTTGTACATGTATGATGTACTACATGACATATATTTAGTTTCAAACTAGGGGTAATTTGATGTGTGGGTTTGTGTATGCACCTGTGTAGCTGTTTATTAGACAGTACTTAATGTTCAGTGACTTCAGTCAATTGATGTCTGAACTCATACAATCTTATGTTTGACTAATTGAGCTGGTTTTTCTTTTTGGATGCTGCAGTGAAACATACCGTTACTTTGACCTCCCCTTCTGTCTTCCAGGTTAGTAATCATCACAGTATTCTATACCCAGAGTTGCTAGATTGTTAAGATCCAGAATGTGTTAGTTTGATATATTGATAATTTGGTATAGTCCTGCACATGCTAAATATGTTGCTGTTGTTGTTAATTTGTTATTAAAATAATAATAATAATAGTAATAATTATAATTATTGTTATGATTCATCATCATTTTCATTTACCATAGTGCCGCAACGGCTCCCACCTATGGTGGGGTAAGGGGGGGTCGGATGTACGCAATCTTACCCCTGTACTAAAGCACAGAGAGACTGTTTCTGGATGACCCATAGAATTATTGTTATGATTATTGTTATGATTATTGTAGTTATTATTTTTAGTTGCTAGCTTGGTACACTTTTTCAAATTCTCAAATTATTGATTTTTTCCTTCAGAACATTTGAAAGAAAAAAAGGAAGCTCTTGGTGAAGTATTGAATGGGGACCGGTTGGTCAGTGCCCCTTACAAGCTTGACTTTTTGCATGAAAAGGACTCAGAAAGAGTTTGTGAGAAGACACTGTCAAAGAAAGAAGTTACACTATTCCGTGATGCTGTTGCCAAGGATTACTACTTCCAAATGTACTATGATGACCTTCCCATTTGGGGGTTTCTTGGAAAGGTTGATAGGGAAGGAAAATCTGACCCCAATGATTACAAATATTACCTATTCAAGCATCTTCATTTTGAGATATTTTACAACAATGATCGTGTGATTGAGATCAATGCACGAACTGATCCCAATGCCCTTGTTGACATCACGGAGGACAAAGAGGTTAATGTAGACTTCATGTATTCTGTGAAATGGAAGGAAACAAACACTCCTTTTGAGAAAAGAATGGAAAAGTACTCTCAGTCTTCATCGTTGCCGCATCACCTGGAAATCCATTGGTTTTCAATAATCAATTCTTGTGTGACAGTTCTCCTTCTGACTGGTTTCCTGGCGACTATTCTTATGCGAGTCCTTAAAAATGACTTTGTTAAGTAGGTACCATTTGTATCTATTTATTAATTTATGATTCTCATTGCATTCTCATCCTTTACAGATTTAGTGAATTTAGTACTGCTGTATAATTATAACTAAGGTATGCTCATGATGAGGAAACTGTTGATGATCAAGAAGAAACTGGGTGGAAATACATCCATGGTGATGTTTTTAGATATCCGAAGTATAAATCTTTGTTGGCTGCAGCACTGGGTTCCGGTTCTCAGTTATTTACCATGTAAGTATCTCTTGTATAACATCCATAGTACACACGAGCTTTTTGCCCCTTATAATATGTATACATATTGTCCAATTCACAGGACAATCTTTATATTCATCCTGGCACTGGTTGGTGTGTTCTATCCTTATAATCGTGGAGCTTTATTCACTGCCTTGGTCGTCATATATGCTCTCACTTCAGGGGTTGCTGGCTATACTGCCTCCTCCTTCTATTGCCAACTAGAAGGAACAAATTGGGTTTGTTTATGGATTTTGTTCATGTATTTCTATATAAAAACACTTGGGGTTTTTTAATATCCGCGAGTTCTGTGCCTGTTATTACTCTCCCGTCCCATTATATATGTGTCATGTGTGTGTGTGTCTAAGGTACAAGTTTTTTAGTCAACCCAATCTATGTACAAGTTTCTTCAAATTATTATGAATGGCCAACTTATCATTATACCCCTAAAACTTATTTCCAAATTTTGTTTGGAGTAATTGGCTGTGCATGAAATTTTCATAAAAGCCAAACTTGTCTTCTTAAACGAAACCCTTTTTTCTTGACAAAAAAAATCTCGAATCAGGCTTTTTTTTGGATGGAGTATAGGTTATGCTTTTTGAGTGCACCTAAATTTTAAGCTCCACATATTGGTTCCTGAAAGTGCATATCCATGTATTTCTTGAGTAAAATAAACTATGGAAATTTCCTGAAACAGGAGAACAATATGTGAAATTTCAGAACAGGGACAATATATATATTTCAAAATAACCTAATGTCATCATGAAATCATATTGCCACATTTTGGCATTACTACTCATTCATATGACTAGTATTAAGGCCATAATTGGTAGTATTTCCAAGCATGACGGGGGGAGCATAATACATTCATACTTCTATTTCGGGATTTTATTGTTTGACTTCTATTTAGGAATATTTCGATAAGCTAATATTACTTCTGTCTTTACAGGTCAGGAATTTGTTATTAACTGGGGCGCTGTTTTGTGGGCCTCTGTTTCTAACTTTCTGTTTCCTGAACACTGTAGCCATTGCTTACAGTGCAACAGCAGCATTGCCCTTTGGTACCATTGTGGTAATCTTTTTAATATGGGCTCTTGTTACTTCACCCTTGCTGGTCTTGGGAGGTATTGCTGGAAAAAACAGCAAGGCGGAATTCCAGGCCCCTTGCCGTACTACTAAGTACCCGAGAGAAATCCCTCCTTTACCTTGGTACCGTGGGGCGCTTCCTCAGATGGCCATGGCTGGTTTTTTGCCTTTCAGTGCCATATATATAGAGTTGTACTATATATTTGCAAGTGTTTGGGGCCACAGGATCTACACAATCTACAGTATTTTATTTATTGTGTTTATTATTCTGCTGATTGTCACTGCCTTCATTACTGTGGCACTAACATACTTTCAACTTGCTGCTGAAGACCATGAATGGTGGTGGAGGTGAGTTCTAATTTTTATCAGTTTTTGCCTTATCTAATAAATTATGTGTATCATATAGAGCCTGTTAAGGTAAATAATACACTTTACTATATATTTTTGAAAATCAATTTAAAGATATTAATGTGTGAAAGTGTCATTTCATTTCAGCTCACTGCATATTTCATTATGAGCCAATTCAGGTAGTACAGTCTATTAAATTAACGTTTGGTAGAATATATTATGGGACAGGAAACATATATGCCCCTGAACTATATGTTAGACAACGTGTATACCTTTCTTCTTTTAAAATAATTAAACAAAAGATTGTTAAGCTTGAACAAATATGCCCTTATGTCTAAATAGTTGAGAGGTGTGTTCTCTCATATATAGATCAATGGTATACTTGTTCGGGCTTCACCATTTTGTATGTAATTGTTCCAAAAATAACTTGAAGGTATATATGTGTTCTGACATCGTTGAGGGTATATTTCAATATTTGTTCCTATTCCAAAAAATATGTATGTGAGAAAAATGAAGTTATGAAACCAGCACTAATTCTCTGGGCTGTGGCCATCATCCATTTTACTGATCTATTGCGCTCAAAATCATTAGGCATTTACTTAGATGAATTCTAACTATTTGCATGATTATGTTGGCTTGGTATGAATTAGATCATTCGTTTGCGGTGGATCAACTGGGTTATTCATCTATGGCTACTGCTTATATTACTATTATGCACGTTCGGACATGTCTGGCTTCATGCAAACATCATTCTTCTTTGGGTACATGGCTTGCATCTGTTATGGCTTCTTTCTCATGCTTGGGACTGTTGGTTTCCGTGCTTCCCTCTTTTTTGTCCGCCATATTTACCGCTCCATTAAGTGCGAGTAATAATAACTAAGCTTTCAAATGAGAATTTGGATGGTTAATGGTCTTCTCCTTGCCCTACCCCTGTTATGCTTTGCAGATCTGCTGGGAACTCTGGAGTTTAGGAGAAACCATTTAGAGCGTAGTTTTTTTTTAAATTACTTGAGAAGAACTTTGTATTGTCTTGAGCTATGGCCGCAAACTTTCTGATTTTGCCAGTTACACGGTTACACCCAGCGTAATATAATTGTTTCTTGTAGCTTATTAGTGTTTGCTAGTTATCATATTTAGGTTCTTTTGCTTTCGGATTTGTGTTGCGTTGGTTTGTACTGGGGTACAAACTATCGTCCAAGACTCAATTTCCTAGACTGGATTGGGACCTGCCAGGTGCCTGTAAGCGAGTCTGGTTTTCCAATTTCATAATGAAGTTGGGAATCAGTTTTCCTTGCAGGTAACCGGACCGCTTGTAAGCTAGACTGGTTCAAAAATTGAAAATTAGTCTGGAGATATACCCAAACCTGACCAGAACCACTAGGTTAAACTGCATTGGACCGCTTGTATGCGGTTTTTGTCAGGTAAACAAACCTCCACTTGGACCTAGAATAGGTCTGGCTCTGGTCATCTCAGACCTCTTTTCACAGTTTCATTAACCTCTTTTGGCGGGCATACATTGGGAAGTAGGGCTGGACTCGGGCCGGTTCGGGCCTGGGCCCGGCCGGGCCTCGGGCCAGGAAAGGGGAGGCCCGAGCCCGAACTGCCGGTGGCCGGTTCCGGTTCCGGTTCCGGGCCAAACCGGGCCGGGCCGGGCCGGGCCGAACCGGCCCAATTAATTTTTTTTGTTCTCCTATTTAATCCCCTACCCCTCCCCCTCAACCCCAAACCATCCCAAACCGCCTCAAATGGCCCAAAATACCTAATCCAACCTAAAACTTAAAAAAATTTCAAAAAAAAAAAAATAAAATCCGGCCCGGACCGGGCCCGAACTGGCCGGGCCGGTTCACCAAAACCTGGGCCCGAGCCCGGACCGCCCAGCACCCGGGCCGGGCCAAACCGAACCGGTGGACCCACCGGGCCACGGGCCGGGCCGGGCCAAACAGTGACCGGGCCGGTTCGGTCCCGGATCAGGCCGCCCGGCCTGAGTCCAGCCCTATTGGGAAGGGTGGGCGGGATGGCTCACCCATCTAATCATCTAAATCTAGTTTTAAATAAATCAATACAACGATGCAAAAAAAAAAAAAAAAATCCCACACTAATAAAATTGAATCAAGAACATTCAGCATTATATATTTTTCGATCAAAGGGGTGTGATTGATTTTAAAAGGGAAGTCATGTGATATAAAATGCATCATTTTTCATTCAAGTATTGGAGAGAGCACATGAGATTAATCCCGGAGGTTTTAAGTTGTGGTATTCGGGGAGAGATAAAACCAGAAATGAGGTAGGCATTATTGTGGCGTGCGACTATGTTGAGGATGTGGCGTAAGTCTTCAGGAAGAACGATTGCATCATGAGCATTAAATTGGTGATAAGAGGTGAGATTGTGTATGTGATAAGTGCCTATGCACCACAAGTGAGATTTGGTGCGACGAGTGCCAAGGGGAGAGAAGTTGATCATACGAGGTGACCTCAACGGGCATGTGGGCGTGAGTTGTGATGGCTTTGAGAGTATTCATGGTGGACATGGTTTTGGCACTAGAAATGAAGCGGGAAAGGACATTTTGGATTTTGCCTCGACGTATGAGTTGGCTATAATGAACACTTGGTTTAGGAAAAGATACTCTCACCTTGTAACCTATATATAGAAGTGGAGCTAATAGTACCCAAATTGATTACTTCTTAGTACGGACTACTTGGAGAACTAGCTACACTGATTGTAAGGTTATCCCAGGTAAGAATGTTGTCACTCAACATAGGATGCTTGTGCTTGACTTTCGAGGTAAGAACCATAGAAGACAAGTTAAGCAATAAGTGGAACCAAAGATAAAGTGGTGGAGGCTTGAGTGAGATCTTCAACAAAGCTTTACACACAAAATGTTCGATGAAGATGTATGGCGTATTGATAATGAAACACGTGTGGATGATGTGTGGTTATCAATGGAGCTGACCATTCACAAAGTGGCAAAGGAGGTACTGGGAGAATCCAAAGGATGTCTGCCACCAAAAAAGGACACGTCTTGGTGGAATGATAAGGTGAAACAAGCCATAAGGAATAAAAGAGATTGCTACAAAAAGCTGGGGACAAGTCGGAGTGATGAGAACATAGAAGCATACAAGGAGGCTAAAAGACAAGCAAAGAAAGACTTAAAGGAAGCACAAGGGAAAGTGAACAAGGAGATGTATGAAAAATTGGACTCTAAGGAAGGAGAACAAGATATTTATAGACTTGCTCGTCTTCGTGATCGCAGGACTCAAGATATCGAAAAAGTTAAGTGTGTGAAGAGTGTCGATCAAAGGATATTAATGAAGGAAAGATAGATAGGGGGTGATTGGAACTGATTCTGCTTCTGCTTCTTTTTTAAAAGCAGAAGCAGAATCAGAATCAGTTTTCAGAAGCTGGTACCTCCTAGCTTCTAAAAAAAACTGATTCTGAGAGTAAATTAGAGCTCCAGAAGTGCTTCTGGAATTTCACCCAAAACTCCAGCTTCTGCTTCTCCTTCCTGAAGGAGCAAAACCAGTTTTGAGAATCAGATCCAAACACCCCCATAAAAGAGAGGTGGAGGTCATACTTTGATACATTGTTCAACGGGAACAAAGCACAAGATATTGGTGATTTGACCATACCAGATTGTATGGTAAATCGTGATTTTGTGAGAAGGATCCAAACAACGGAAGTTAAAGAGGCTCTGAGAAAGATGGGGCGGAAGAAAGCAGTGGGTCCAGATGGTAGAGCTGTCAAACGGGCCAACCCGGACCGACCCGCGGCGGGTTATGAGTTTCACGGGTCGGGGCGGGCCAACCCGTTTACTAGCAGGCTAGAACTTTTGTGACCTTAACCTGACCCACCAAACCCATGGGTTATGCGGGCCAACCCGCGGGCCATAAAAGTCAAAACAAAAAACAATTAAATATCCAAATTAAAATCCAAACATAATTGACATAACAAATAAATATCTAAATTAAAATCTAAACACAATTAAAAAGGAAAAAACAGTGCTTGAAAATCCTTTGGTTGTATACTTGAATGTATCATTGTGGATAATTGGTATACTTAAAAAGTTAAAAGCTGAAATACCTAATTTCTCATTTATTTAGTCTGATTTGGATATCATGAATAAAATAGCATAAAAGTCCTTATGTTATACTAGTAAAACAATATAGCATCGAATACATTAAAAAATACATTTATTTAGTCTGATTTGGATATTATGAACATAATACATTAATATTAGAAGTGAGGAATGAACTAGAAGTAAATAAAAAGTAAACTAGAAGATATAATTGATTTTCCCAATTTTTGTTTGCCTATTCAAATTCTCCAGGATAAACATGTTTCTTCATCTCCTTCATTCCTTCGTGACTTTGTGTCTGTTCGACTAGAGTATATTTCAACAATTTACTTTGTCGATCATATATAGAAATAATAGAATTAAAAATACATAGAATAAATGATATTTGTCTTCAGCCCGCGGGTTAGCCCGCAACCCGTACGGGTTGGCCCGCAAAACCCGCAACCCGTTAGGGTTGTTGACCCACTGAGCCTGCAAAATAATTGGGCCTGAAAATGATAGCTCTAACCCACTTATAAGTGGGTTGAAACGGGCCAACCCGCGGGTTTCGGCCTGTTTTGATGGCTCTACCAGATGGCATACCGATCGAGGCTTGGAGAAGTTTGGGAGAAAGAGGCATCGGGTGGTTAACAAATTTCTTCAACAAGATTTGGAGAAACAACAAGATGTCAACGAGTTGGAGAAAGAGTACTCGTATTCCCTTATTTAAGAATAAAGGTGATGTACAAGAATGTGCAACCTATCGAGGGATTAAGCTCATGAGTCATACCATGAAACTTTGGGAGCGAGTGATTGAGCAAAGACTTCGAAGAACGGTGAAGATTTCAGAGAATCAATTCGGTTTTATGCTTGGTCGCACAACTGAGTCTATTCACCTCCTTCGTCAACTTATGGAGAAGTGTAGAGACGCTCACAAGGATTTGCATTTAGTGTTCATTGACTTAGAAAAGGCATATGATAGGGTACCTAGAGAAATTCTTTGGTGGGCCTTAACTAGAAAAGGCATTTCACATAAGTATATCAGCATCATCATGGATATGTATGAGGATTGTACTACAAGTGTCCGTACTAGCGGAGGGAGGACGGCGAAGTTCATTATTACTATCGGAGTGCACCAAGGATCGGCTTTGAGCTCTTTCTTATTTTCCATAGTCATGGATGAACTGACAAAGTCAATTCAAGACGATATACCGTGGTGCATGATGTTTTCCGACGATATTGTATTGATTGATGAGACGCAATCAGGGGTTAAAGCAAAGTTGGAAGTATGCCGACAAACATTGGAGAACAAGGGTTTCAGACAATGTCGTAGCAAGACAGAGTACATGGAGTGCAAGTTTGGTGGAGGTAGAAGCAGTGGTAATAGCGGAATTACTCTAGATGGTAAGGAGATACCGGTCAGCGATATGTTCCGTTACTTGGGCGTCATGATTCAGAAGGATGGTGAGTTAGATGGAGATGTCTCCCATAGAATCAGAACAGGGTGAATGAAGTGGAAGAGTGCGTCAGGAATTCTATGCGATCGAGGTATGCCGACCAGACTGAAGGGTAAATTTTATAGGGCAGCAATTAGGCCTGCATTACTGTATGGCACGAAGTGTTGGGCGGTGAAATAATGTCACATTCAAAAGATGAGTGTGTCAGAGATGCGCATGCTGCATTGGATGTGTGGACATACTAGAAAGGACCGCGTGAGGAATGAGACAATCAGACAAAGAGTGGGAGTAGCACCTATTGAAGATAATATGCGAGAGTCGCGCCTACGGTGGTTTGGTCATGTGCATAGAAGACCGAGTGATGCAGCTGTCAGACGAGTTGAGATGTGTGGAGAAGAGGCAGGGAAGAGAGGGAGAGGAAGGCCCAAATAGACGTGGGTTAGGGGAGTCAGAAGTGATATGCTTCTTCTTGGATTGGATGAGGGTATGGCTTTGGAGAGAGCAAAGTGGGGGGCAGATATTCGTGTGGAGGAGTGGGTCTTGTACCATCTTTTCCCCTCCTTTTTTTTCTTTTTCTTTTTTTATAATCCTTTTATCATTATATATAAATATTATTTTTATTGATAGAGTTGTATTTTTATTATGTATTATTTCTATTTTAACTAGTTTTATTTGTTGTTGTTTGGAAAATTACACACTTTTGGTGTACTTAGTTAATTTTCTTAGATAGATGTAATTTGTTTAGATTAGGATTATTCTGAGCTTAAAACAGATCAAGATCATCCAAAGGATCAAGTTTGAACCTCAAAAGATCAAGGAAAGTGCAAGAGGACAAGATAAAAAGAAGATTGAAAAAATATTTCATATACCCGGTCGGGTATAGGCAATACCCGATCGGGTATTGAGTTGATTCGGTTGTCAAAATCAGAATCTAGAGAGACAAAAGAACGTGCAGGATTTTGACTTTTTGGCTCATACCCGACCCGGGTATGCCAACATACCCGACCGGGTATGTCCCGAAAAGTCATTTCCCGGGAAATTGCCTAAAATACCTGATCGGATACCCTATATACCTGGTCGGGTACACCACCCCGCCACCTCCAAACACCTATAAATACACCCCTTTTCCTTCACAATAATACCACTCCTTCCATACTCTTAAGCTCAATTTAGAATAGTATTTCTTTTATATTTTTATATTATGTTTAGTCTCCAAATGAGGAGCTAAACTCTCATTTTTTGGTGTTGCTCTTGAAGCTTGTTGATTATTAAAGTTGTGAGTTATTTTCTTAACTTCTTCCCTTGAATATTAATTCTTCCCTTAATCTATCTATATATTAATGTTGGGGAGTGTTGCTAAGATGACAATTAGTTAACATCTTGACATTAGTTATAGTAGGATTTATCATCTTTAATATTCTTCCTTGAATATTAATTAATTCCTATTCGTATTTCATATTAATATTTTGAACATTACTTAAAGGATCAACTGGTTTTGTTTCATATATTAATTATTACTAGAATCAATCGACGAATACGCTTGTTAATCGTTGATAGTTTCACAAGTAACTTCGGTTTATTAATGCACGGTCGTGGTTAATAAACTTAAGAGAGATTAATTTTGTTGGTTAAACCGAAACCGTTGTGTTGAGGTTATCAATCTCAATTGATTTCATCAAGGAGTTAAGAGATTAAATGCTACTATCAAGTCGGTATATGACGGTGTTCTATACTTGACTAATAGTAAGGGTTATTAATGAACGGTCGTTGTTAATAACTACCCTCGATGAATTGGATATATTCCTTGATTGAGTATTCGAGAGGGGATAAGTTATAGATATAACAATGATCGACTAAAATATATCAACAAGTGGAAAGTAGCAATGCCAAGTTCTTTTTATTCTTGAAATTAAATCTCATATAAATCGTTCATCTTCGTGTTTAATTAAATTAAATCACTCAATCCCAAAACCCCCCTTATTTACTAGTTTTATTAAAAAGAGAGTTATTCCTTTCTCTGTGGATACGAACTCTACTTCACCCATACTACGTATAAGTGTTAGTATCGAATTATTTTGACGCACCGTGACAAAGTGCTTGTCATTTATCCTTGTTATTTTATCTTTTATATGTATATTCATCTCTTTTATATTATCTTTTTTATAATAGCTTATCTTTTTTATCTTTATTTTCTTTCTTTTCCTTTTGGTGATATCATATATCGATTCATGTTAGCTGACCCTAATATCGTTTGGGAATTAGGACTAAGACTTGGATGTTGTTGTTGTGTTGTTGTATTGCAGTAGTCTGTGTCTTGATTTGCTTCCATGACATTTGGAATGATGCCTCTAGAGTCCAGACTCCAAAGAGCTCAACTAGTCCTTGGTGTCTCAGTCGGGTTATCGAGTCTAAGGTTGCAAGCCTGAGCCTTGAGAGTGTCACCCAATGTTGGGCCTGACCTCTGTGGGATTATACCGTGATTCAGGGAGTGTTTGCAACTGCAGCTTTAAAAAATCACTTTTGGAGTGATTTGGAAAAAGTGACTAGTAGTAAAAGTTGATAGTTGTTTGAGAAAAAAGTGATTTTGAAAGTGAAAGTTGGTTGTGTGTGGTAAAATAAGTGTTTTTTGTGTAATGGAAAAAGGGAAAAACACTTTTGACACACAAGCCTAGAAAAAAATAAAAATTAGTAGTGTTTGGTAAATAAGTGCTTTTTGAGACCAAAAGCTTAGAAGTACTTTTTTTAAGCTATTGCAATATATGAAATTTATATTGTATATAGTAGGTGTTTATATATAAATTTGGATGATATAAGGTGAATTAGTACGTAGGTAGACATTTAAAAGCTCGTGGGGAAATCATATGTGATTGCGAATGAGGTTGGGACAAACAACACGATATAATAGACATTTTATGTATTTTTAATTTATTTATTTTAACTAGAGGCTGTGTTTAGTAAAACAGCATTTAGAATTGCCCTTTTGGTTTTAACTGAAGCGTTCAGATAAAACACCACAAAAGATCTAATAAACGTTAGTACCTCTATCATTTAGGATATTCTAATTGATTTGGTTTCAATCATAAATCAATTTAGACTTGGACAAATTAAGAATTCGTCATTTGTAAAATACACGTAGAATGAGCATATATCGATTGAACAAGTTCAAACAACACTAGATCAAACTTAAATAGACTAAACAAGAAATTTACAATCCAAATATAAACATTCTTACCTTTATGGTCTTACCTAGAAAATACGGGCAATATCTCATGAGGACCTCAACTGGATAAAATTATACAAATACTAGTATACTACCTCCCATTTTTTAATGTCTCCCTTTAATTTAACACAATTAGTAATAGAGTGATTGAAAAGTAAAAGCATCAATTGAGAATTGAATAAAATAAAGTAAAATAATAAGAACCACATTTTTTGCTAAAAAACAATAAGACGCTTTTCATGTTGTTCAGTCACTTCTCTCCTAATTCCGTATAAGTTGGCATTAGTAATTACAATTTACACATTTAAAGCTATACAAAACTTTTTACGGGGCAAGAAACCCCAATTTTGCTACAAGTTAAATTGACCACAGGTATCGCAAGTGTTAACTGTTAAGGTCACTAACAAAACAATTATAGAAGGGAGTAGTTTTATTAAAGAAATTTATCAAATATTTGACAATGAAAAAGACCATGACCATAACTCCATAAGTAGGATAAATGCAATCTCAACTCAGTTGTATCAATGGAAAGTACGAAAATTAGACAAATGTGTCACATCCGTGAAATATAAATATCCAACAGAATAACACAAGCTAACTTTGTCTATTATACATCATGCTACCGTGCCAACTGACGGTACAAGGCAGACGCAGATCATCATAACCTCTTACATTTCACATCATAAGGGTGTTTTCCGTTTTCTATCTCCAAGTAGAACCACCAAGTCGGATAACCTCCTCCGTACTGGTGTCCCTCCTAGAAGCCCCCCTATCATAGTTTCCGTCATCCTTTTGACTGCTACTCAAGTCACCATAGATGTCTTTAAGCTTTGCCAGATTGCTGGAGACCCCAGAAGCCTTATCTTTGCTTACATCATCCTTTGCTGCCGGGCTTCGCCGATAATCAGCATGACTGCCACCATGACTCCTACTCCTACTCCTGCTTCTACTCCTGCTCCTCTCCCTATCCCTTCTACTTCTCCTCTCCCTATCCCTATCATAATCATCATGCCTTCTACCCCTCTCCCTCTCCCTATCATAATCATTCCTCCTCTCTCTCTCCCGATCCCTACCCCTATCTGAGTCTCTATCATGCGACCGGTGGTCCCCGTCTCTATCGCGGCTTTGACTACGACGGTTAGCAGGGGACCTTCTAGCATCATCATAGGTAGATGATGATGCTGATGTCAGTGTACGACGGATAGGGGATGAATCTCGGGTTGACGCACGGTGAGGCGCGCGCTGACCGAATGAGACAGAGAGGGAGGCTTTGACTGAAGGTGGCCGGCGAGCAGTTTCTTCTGATCCTCGGCTTGAATCCCCGGTTGAACCAGAAGGTTTCGTAGGAAACTTCATTTTCTCAAGATTTGATACCATCGTGCGCATTATGGGGACCGGGATGCGGGGCAAAAGTGTATCAAAATAGTACTGCAATCAAGTAAAACATAAAAGTTCACTTCCCATATCAAGGGGATGATATCTACAGAGCAGTTAGCTTTTGCCACAAACAAAACACTGTAAAATACTCGAAGTGAAGTTTAAATATCCAGATACTCAAAGTGCAGTTTACATATCCAGATAATAAAAAAACAAAAAAAATCCAGATATTTAAAAAATGGAGTGGAAAAATTTATGTCTTGTTTGCTTAGGTGATTAGGTGGGGAGGCCTTTTTACCAACATATCTCTATTCAAATCTCTATTCGTCAGTGAAGACAAGAAAAAATCTATATATTATGGTAAAATCATGTCTTTTTGTATACTTCTTTGTCTTCACTTTATTACCAACCAAATAAATGTGACAATAAATTAAGAAATTATACAACATTTTATCCCTCCTCTTTCCTCCCCTCTGAAATCCCCACTCACAAACAAAACAAGCGCATAGCAAACAGTAAAGAGGCAAAATAAGTTTTACTGATCAAACTGCAGAATGACAGGCCAGTGCTGCTAGTACCCAATTAAGTATGCCACATGCTGTTTCCTCATTTCCTTGTCAACTTGATAGTTCAAAAAAATGGAAAAATTATACGGAAGCTTTCTGTGTAGAGAAAGTTAATATCTTCAGTCAAATCAATGTTCAGGATTAAAAAAAAGTCAAGAATTTATTATCTTGGCAAAGTGAGCCTTCATTGAAAAATAATAATCATGGTAACCATATTTGCACATGATCAATACATTTGAACAAGTGAAAGATAGTAATGGTTCCCATGATTAACAAAATCAGTGTGTTTAAGGCAAGCACTTAGGATAAGGCAAAAAGTGAGATTACACTATTCCCCACTCCCCAGGACTGGAGAAAACACCTTAATTGATAACAGTAAATCTCATGATCTCAGTATGACTCAATTACATGGTTAGCATCTATTGAGGTTAATTGAAATTTTGTTGTAATTGGCATTCTTAATAGCCTAATAGGTTGATACAACTTTCACATCACTTGTGCATTCTTCCTACTATATATAAAAAAGAAACATAAAAAAATCTATGAGGTTAGGTCTGCATGCATAAACGTGTAGCATGGTCATGCCTATGTGAATCAGTGAATAATGCCATGTGGAGCACAAACATTCCACAACCTTTAAAATAATAAACACATACTTGCAAATAATTTATAGAAGTAACAGATCCAATTGAGAAAGATTTAACTTAGATGTGCCAGTGAAGTATACATAGAAAGAGAGCATAAACTTGCCTCAACTGAAATAATGAACAATTCAGTTTGCAAATCATATGAGTGTCTGAAACGTGAAGCAGTAGAGTGAAAAAAGAAGCAATGATTATTAAGTAATTATGAGATAAATGGTTTGGCACCTGACCTGTCCCAGGAGCAAGTCGCGCACATACACGCCCATAGTAGTCATTTTACCACTAGATCCAGGAGAGAACTCCTGCATAAAGCATGGTAAGTATATAAGGTAAAAGCTTAATGGGTACCAAAGGCTGCATAGTATGTAAAATTGAAGAATAGGCACCACGACAACTTATGTTCAAAAATCCAAACAAAAAAGCAACACAGCAGAAAAAAATCCTTCAGTCCTATAATCAAGTTCCCATTTTGGTTTCTAATAACCTAGAATCAAGATCTTGTTTTGGTTTCCGATGTTTGATTGATGATAAAATTAACTATCGTCAATTGAACTACAAACACTGAATTTGATTATCATAAAGATTTAACATATAAATGAGAGATTAGAAGGGAATTAAGTTCTCAGGAATAGTGAATTTTATTGTGGGACAAGGGAAATAATAAATATGAATAGTTAATTAATTGAATAAAGCAGTATATACAAAATGTACTATAATAAGAAAAGCTGCAACCAATAAAATACAGTCAGGCATAAAAATCCAAGAAACCCTCAGACTCGGCTACTCACAAAATTTTACAAGTTACAACTGACTGAAGCAAACTAAAATGTTAAGAAATAATTACATATTTATGACAAAAATAAAGTTTGTTTCCAAAAATGTGACTAAAAACAAGAGTAGTAATAAAACCATAGAACTTATGTTCAACTTTTAAACTTTGCCATGACACTACATTGGAGTAACTATTAGTCATATTTATGTAAATGAGTTTTATTTTAGAAATATTTTTGTAAAAAACCCAAATGCTAATAAATCACTTACGCATTACACTTTTCCAGTTTAAGTCATTTAAAAGAACAAAGTGATATGTCCCATAAATGAGCTGGTTGGAAAATAACAAATGAAAAAAAAAGGAAGGTAGAAGTGTAAAACATTATTCACACCTCATCATCTTTAAGATATGGCTCATACCAACTCCATAATGTCTTAGGATCTGCATGATATCTGAGGTATAAGAATCCCACCTGGAGAAGGAAAAATTCCTAAATGAGATATTTTACAAAGCTTCACAAAAATGTTCATGCTGAAAGAGAGAGACCTCTTTATATGCCAACCTTATTGATATTGCAAAGATAAACTCTGCCCTTTTAATGAAACTTAGTTCCACTATAAAATTAAAAATGCAACATGATAAGAAAGTCTAACACAATTTTATAGACCATGAAAGCTCTTCTTGCATTTATGCTTGTAATAAAGTCTGTGATGCTTCTTCATGCAATATTATGATAAAATATAATGAGATGTGAAAGAAATGATAACTGAAATTGCATATCTGTGTATGGTTTGAGAGATGAAATTACTCACAGCTCTGATATACGGTGAATCCACGTGCTTTAGAAGACCATGCATTTGTTTGACAGTAAGTTTCATTGTAAAAAACTTGTAAAGAAGGCAGAACGCTGTTGAAGGACCACGGCAGTTTCCAGTCATCCATGGCTCCACATGATCAACTTGATTGTAAATTTCATCAATCACTTCATGATATGTCTTCAACCGCAAAAGATCTCTAAAATAATCGGAAGAAAGAATGTTCATACACAGAACCTTTTCCAACAACTGATCAATTGATTTCCCAGAAGTCCGAATCTCTGCCATAGCTTATATAGTACTCACACCTCTGGTAAAATCAAGTAGCAAAGCTAAATAGACTTTCCCACTTTGAGAGCAAACAATGTGAAATTTGTTGCCAGGACTTAATTTTATAACCAAAAGCTTCCTGCAGGAAAAGTTATAACCACCACAATTCAGATGCATCTTAATCCAAGCTATGTAGGTGACATGAAAGCAATAGTTACAATTAATTACGATAAAAATATACTTATACATATGTAGTTTGCTGTGCCAGTTTTCAATTAATTTGTGAAGTGATGCTCACAGTTAATCTGCAGAATTTTGGCATTCCTCCGTACGAAGGCAAGCCTGCCAGCGTATTGATCGGTCATTAAACTACAGCATATTTCAACTCCTAATTTTAGAAAATTATTCATCGTTTGAATGAAAGAACAGATAAAGAACGAACCTCGACAACGCCCTCTAAGCTTTATCGATCTATTCACAGCTAATGAGATATATAAAAAGATATGTAAGAACAAACCAAACAAGATGCGATAAAATAAGATGACAGATAGTAATAATCGATTAACCTCAGCTTAGAAGAACGGCGTGGTGTAGACTGCGTGCAGGGGAAGAGGAAGAGAGCGATATAGCGTACGACGACCGTCTGGTTGAGAGATGAGCGGTAGATCGGATGGATTGGTGCATCGGTAGTAGGATTAGGTTATTCCAGATCTTGGTCAAGTGGTTTTCTAATTGGACCAGGGAAACACTTTGGGCCAATAATAACTTGAGAAAATGGAAACTAATAATCCAACCTTTTAGAGGTATTCTTTCAATAATCCCACCTTTTGATTATTCATGAATAATCCAATCTTTACACCGCATCTTCATTCATTGGTCCCTGGTCGGTTAATGACCTACTATTCCAAGTTATTTTTTTAACTTTCCAAAATATTATCTTTGTGAAAGATGAGATTTATGGTATAATGATTTGCAAAGATAAGAAAATAGCTTGGAATAACAGGTCATCAACCGGTCAGGGACCAGTGAATGAAGATGAGGTGCAAAGGTTGGATTATTGAATAATCAAAAGGTGGGATTATTGAAAGAAGACCGCTAAAAGGTTGGATTATTAGTTTCCATTTTCCCCAATAACTTTACATCATTTGATTTGACAAATGTTAAAAGTTATATGGAAAATTTCACAAATAGGCTGAAACGGTAAAGTAATATCACTTTTGTTCCTGTTTAAATTTTCTTTCAACCGTATACTAGTTGACTTTTTCTTTTCAAAAATAGATCTCTTGTCCCATGTATATATAAAACTCATCCCTGGAATCAATATTTTGAAGAAGCGCAGGTCTACATCCAGTTTTAGTGCTCTATACCTTCTTTGATACGGAGTAAAATAATACGGCATCTAAGCCAAGCTCCAAAATTTACTTAATTTTAATTTTTTTAAATGTACAAAAAACTTTAAAAAAAAATAAAAATAAAAATAAAACAAAATATATAATTAAAATATAATAAATATTAGAAGGAAAAACAGAAAATAAAAAATAATAAATACAAATTTTAAAAAAGAAAATGTATTTAAATTTTAGAAATTAATCATAAAAATGTAAAAATACGTATTGGAACCTTATATATACAGGACTCAAAAATAAATATGAATCACAATTGGATTTGTAAGAAATAAGATTTGTTATAATATAAATTTTTAAAAAGTTAGTATACCCCGTAATTTATACAAAAATATAGAAAACATTTAAGAAAATAATGTAATTTTTTGGGTGTGGAATTAATACAAAACGAAAAAATATATATAAAAATATAAATGGTAAAAATTTTAAAGTTTTCTCACAAATTAAAAAAAAAGTAAATTTTAAAAACAAAATATTTGTTTCTTTTTGTTGTTAAATATGAAGATTTTATTTTTTTGTTGTTTATATTTGTTTCTAGGTGTTTGTATAGTCACAAATCTAAATTTATAATTTTAAATATTTGCACATAAATTTATATAAGTTTTTTTTAATTTCTAGAAAGAAGCCAAGATGTATAAATACCTAAATATTAAACAATAAAAAAAATTGACAATAAACAACAATAAGCAACACACTACAAAAAAAAACAATACGATACAACAAAAAGAAACACAATGCAACAAAATGAAACAATGTTGATACAACAAAAAGAAACACAATGCAACAAAACGAAACAATTCTGATACAACATAAAGAAACACAATGCAACAAAACGAAACAATTCTGATACAACAAAATGAAACAACAAACAAATGAAGCCATCTTCCACCCGGGGTAGAGTGAACTCTTAAAATTGATGACTTGTTCAGGACACTGAAAGAAAAAGAGCATGCAATGTCTAATCTGTTTCTCCTTTTCCATTGAAGAGGAGATTGGTTCATTTACTCTGTTGCATTGATCTTCTTCACCTTTTTTCAGTCTAAATCACTTTCCTTGATCAATACCTTTCTGAGATCCCAATCTGCAATCTGCGGTCTATATATGCTCCCTACATATGCTACATTTGAAAATTGAGGCAAGTTGTTATGCAACTTCTTATGGCTTGTGTGCAATCTGCATTCTTAAGGCATACAAAACTCCCATCACAATTAAAACTTATCTATGTATTCTTGCGCCTTTCTATGACACGTTTTGCATTGCTAGGAACTCCACCAGCCTCCCAACAAAACTTAAAAAAAATTACTTTAAACCTCAATTAGGGGATCAAATTTAGGCCACTTTTACCTTGTTTTACTGGGTGGATTCAAACCATAGGCTGAACCTCCAATCCAGTCCATCAATCACTATAATCTCCATAATCATCAGAATCTAAACCTCCTTTTTCATCCACATTTATATCTGAGTCATTGCCGTCATCCATGTACACACTACCACCTTCAAAGTTTTGGCCATCATCCCTGTAACCACCACCCTCTTCTTCCTCCATCCCTATTTATATCCGAGTCTTTGCTTCCTCGTGATCTTCTACACCTACTACTGCAGAGATTCCAATTCATAATTTGGAATTACAGTCACTTAATATTCAGCCTTAGTACCTTACATGATATACAACAATAAGCTAAGCCAATTTTCTATTCCCGACTAATAAGGAGCTATGCATTTGCAAATAGTGGCTTCCAATATCTTTTTTTATGACCACACAATAAGATACTAAATTCTAAACACCAGATTTGTTTCGTTTTGATAACTTTAGTGGATTTTTGGAAAGGAATGAAAAGCAAGTCCTTCCCACACCACAAATGTCTTTAAATCATCAAATTGCAAGAAAGTAAAGAAACACTAAGAAGCAATAGAAATTCTAAGTTCTCAAACATGGTTGAAATTACTCAGATACACCCGACCACTTTTAAAAACTGTTGCTAGGTGTAAGAAATCCACATATTAATAACTACAAACACATCAGTCTCTACTATATCATTGAGCACAACCCAGTGCACTTGGAAGATAAAACAACCAGAAATAAGCACTACCTAGTCTCACTCTTTTGTTTTCATTAAGAAATTAACAGTGCCTAAATCAAGAATATAAAAACTAAGGCTTCTTTGGTGGTAGACCTAATCTCATCTAAACAGCAATGTGGCTTTTGATTTAATTTGGTTGAAAAAGACTTCAATGTTACTCCTTCTGGATGTGCAAAAATCAGCAAAGCAAGTACATCAGAATTCAGAACAGACCTTAATTGAGCTTTTCCTGGACATTGATCCCCATTGAGTTGGCAGTGCCAATAATAGACTTAGAAATGGACTCCAGAGACATATACTGCAAAATGGATCACTTTGTTTGATTTTTCAATTCCATGCTTTAGGGATATCCTAGAGGCGGTGATGTGACCAGGGCGGCAGCTGCCACTCTCCACCCCACCGCCAGTTTCAGAGGGAGATATCAACACGAATTCGAAGATTCCGTCCTTGAAAGCCATCATCGTAACAGACTTACGAGTTCCATACCTGTATTTATGCGTATAGGCATTGGAAATTAAAATCCTTGCAGAATTCCTGGAGCCGGGCCTAATGGCGATTCAGGCTTTGTAGCGCCGACGTCGATCCTTAGTCGGATTGTAGCCGACGAGGGACGCCGAGTCAAGATTTCCTTCAAAGTCTAAACCACATACTAACTATATAATTGACTTTGTTGGTTAATAGCTAGGGAGGATCTAAGATGGATTTCATCACCTTCAGCAATGCTATGTGAGGCACATCTCGACCGATAGGAAGTAAAGCCGCATAGGATGACAGAGCGGAGGACGGTGCACAAAGTCGCACATGACGGATGACGGCGCACGGAGCCAAACAGGACGGAGGGCAGAGTGCGGAGGCTGGAGGCGCATCTAGAGCCGGGCAGGTGGAGAACAGTTGTACACGCTCTTGCTTCAGGTCAGATGCCAGATCGCCAACGATGATCGATCTCTCACTCTCCCTTTGAGTTTTGATTTAGATAGGTTATTTTTGAAATAATAAAACAAAAGTGAAAAGGCAAAAGTTTAAAATTGAAAGATAAATAATTAGGTGACATAAATGATAAGGAATAAGTAAAGGTGGACTGAACGGGATATTTCCACAAAGTTATAAGGTGTATTTATAAATATTAAAAGTTATGTTGTGTATGTATAAAAAATATTTTTTGTAAATATATACATCTATTATGATCTACTCCTGAGGAAGCAGTCCAGCTCAGCTGGTCACCGACTCACTCTCTCATATGGGAGGTCCCGGGTTCAATTCTCATTGAAGTGAGATTGATCCTAGTTTACCCCAGGCCCCCCAAAAAATGATCTACTCCTACTCACTCATGACATTGAATTGATTATCAAGATAATTAGAATTAAATTCCATATTTTATCTCATACTTGGAATATAAATATACGTAGTACTACCTCTGCCCCTCTTATATTGGGACGGAAGAGGTTAACACGATTGTTAAGAAAAGTGGGTTTGTGTGGTCGATATTAATTGATAAAGTAGGAATAAAGTATGAATGACTTAGAGCCATACAAACTTTATCAAATATGGTATGAGACGGTTTTAGTGAGATTTCTCGAAAAGTAAAATGGGACAATATAAAGGAGACGGAGGGAGTAGTTAATAAGTACTTTAAAATGAGAAACGATAGAAACAACCACGAGTTTGAAATTAAAAATGTAAGTAGTCAAAATTCTTAGATAATGGAGATATGAATTACGGAGTATGAAACAATACTCTAATAAAAAAAACTACAATTCCAATATATATAATTTCACCGGAACTACTAATTTTCAAAGAAAACGCCGTCTTTCAAAAAGACAACATAGAATTTTTGTTCATCTATGTAAATGTTGGAAAACTCGAGTATTCTTATATCCTCCATGCTTACAAAGTCACTCCATTAATACCGCACATTTTACTCGCCGTCCATATACTTAGAGCCCGTTTGATAACCATTATTTTTTACTTTTCAGACTTATCGGCCAACATTTTTACCAAACATGTAATTTTTTGTTTGTGCGCTGAATTGTGTGATAATAAGAAAAGGTAAGGTTGAAGTTACTTTTTTGACTGTATTGGTTGAAATTACTGTAGAAGACCATTTTAGCTATTTTTTATATATTTTTTTCATTATTTCATTAATAAAATATATTTTAATTTAATTGTTTCACAAATCAGCAGAATTAGCCAATACAACCAATTCAGCCAGAATTTCATAAATTTTAGCAAAATCAGCTGATACAGCCGATTTGGGTGTTACCAAACA